TTTATATTTATTCTCAACTAGATCTATCCATTTATATTAAAATATTGTAATATAATAATTATAATTATAATTTACTAATGTTCATATTCTATATATTTTTAAATACGTATTTCAGTTATGTTTAAATCTTGAAAAAAAAATTTGTATGTTATAATTAATATTATACAAAAATCCTATTGTAGTAAGGATTATATTGTTATGATTTGATTTATAAATAGTAATCATTTTTTTTGTTTGTAATCTGATCTTTTAAAGAATAAATAACGATATAACAACATGTTAGATTATATCGAATAATCGATTCTAAATAATTCATAATATGTGTTCTTATCGAAACACTAAATCGAATATAAATATGAAGCAATCAGGAAATGCAATTAAAAATATCGTTGGTTTGAGGATGTGTGTGCAGTGGAGATCTAGTAAGAATCAATGATTTTATTATACCGTTTCATTTATCATTGAGTATATTTGCAATTAACTGTTATTTAACCTTCGTTGGAGTATTTACACTTTGCAGTCTACTTGAGAGTATAACCTTCGTGTTACTTACTAACACTTTTCTTCACAATTTAAAGATCTTTAATATGTTTCGTATTGTATTTGTACAATTCCATTCAATTGATGGTAATTAATTAAAATGCAATATTTCAAGCCTCTCATATTGTAGCATTGAATAGATAGAAAATATTAAATATTTTATATAATAAATAACTGAAAAGTCTTGAATTTTCCTTTCATTCTTCATATAATTTTCTTTGTAATATCTTTTTGAAAAGATTTGGTTTGTATGAAGTTCTTCAATTAGTGTAATATCAAACAGTTTTGGTAATCTGCCAAAATAAGCGAGGTATTGCTGTTTATTTGAGGATAACTTTCATCGAAATTAACTTATATAGCATTTATTCAATCTTACTTAATAGTTTACTCATCTTATTTATACAACACTATTTAATACAATACAATGATTGATTTTTTGAAAATAGAATAATTTCGTGGATAGTGAAAGTGGATGAAGAGTAGGAATTCGTGTAGTTTTATACCTTTTGGTTTGGCTGGAAATTGCGTCATTTGTGAGTGGCCTAGGTCTGGAGCGCCTTATATGGTCGAGCAGGTCCACAACTCGGTCATTGCAAGTCCGACCATCGATCGAGTCGGCGTTTCCATCCATTCGCTTCGCCCAACCACTCTCTCTGACTCATCAACACCATCACCATTTGCTCTCCTTTTTTATTCACTTCTTCTTTTTCTTCGCATTTCCTGCTGCTCATTCGATCCGTTTTCATATAAAATCGCAACTTTCGCGTCCAATCGGCGCCTGCCTTAATTAAAACACATGCAAAAGGCTACTACCACATTTCGATGCCCACACCAATGCGATACGGTGCACACACGTCCGTCGTGGCCCATTTGACCAAATGCAGATCCACCTTTCCCTCATGAATCGCAAACGACCATAAATACGACGACTCCATACGAGAAACCCGAGGAAAACGAAAAATACGCTATAAACAGGATTTGCATTTGACATCAATAAATCCAGCAATCGAAAACAAAACAAACGGGAAAAATGAATCACGAAATTCAAAATAAATAGTGATTGAAAATTAATACAACTTTTAACGTATATTCGACAATAACAAAGTATAAATATCCGTAGTAACGTACAACCTTCCTTAATAAAGTACAAATATTCGTACAAACGCAATGATGTGCTCCAAATAGAATGGAAGGGAGACTAATAGCCGAATGATTAAGTCGCGATTTCGTGAGCGCCGGTTCGAATCCTGATCAAGCCAGGCCCTTGCGAACCCTCTCGGTGCTTGCAGCAATAGGGCCATCGTTCATCACAGATGAATGATGTTCAGCATATGGATCTTCAGCCAAGTCGATGGACAATGTCGATGTCGATGGACAGTGTTAGAGATAGCAGCAGATTCAAAGTCAAAGGAAATAGTGGAATCGCAAAGCATCAATATACTACTGAAGTTAACCTACAAGACGACAGCCAACCAACAAATTATTGACAACCGCAATCTTAAATTTACTCAATGTTCACATTGATTAATAGATCGTGAATAAAATTATACGACATAAAAAAATAGCACGGAGCGTTTATATTGTGACTTCTGTTCAAATTAAGGTGTTACTGTTTTATTTCAATAACTTGTTTTAGGAAAAAAATAAATCAAATTACAATTTGATTGAAACAAAATTAAAATTTGTATGTTAATTTGTACGTTTTTATTAAAATGTGTATAGATAATTATTATTGTATCAAAATATATTTATTATTATTGTGACATCTGTTCAAATGTTTGATTTTTTTTTCTATTTTCAACAGATAAAATATAAAAGAAAATGAATCATGAAATTCCCTGTATCCAAATAAATTAAAAATCTATACATCTCAAAGTATATTCGACACATATCTGTACTAACGTACAATTATTCGTGGTAACATAAAATGAAGAAAATACATAATTAAAATATGTTCCCAGATATGAATTTATGATAGTTTGAAGCAAAAATTATTTTATGAACTATTCAGAACATGTGAGCCAAGTGAATTTTGTAAACGATCAAGTCCAGCAGTTGGGAGGACGTTTGGTGTAAGTAAGACCTTAGAACGTTAATTGCGTAATCGTCATCCAAGGAAAACTGTGTGCGTCGCACGGCGGCGACGACGACTGAGTGTCCCCGATTCGAGAAAGGGAATCGAAGGCTAAGGCCCTTTTAGCGAAACCGTGGGAAATCGACTGGAGGCGATGCAGAAGTGCGGAGCTGATTCGGAAAAATCATTAGACAAACGCAACGCATTCAACCCACATGCTAATTTAGCACAATTCAATCGGCATTCTCCATGCAAGATTCCCCCATTGAACAAGATAATTGCTAATAAACTTAACCAACAGGAATCTTTATGCCGATTCTGACAGTGCAAAGACGGCAACATGAACAACAAAAAGCAAACAATTAGCGAGATGATCAGAAATACTCTTTTAATTTATTTTTATTATTATCAATGTTTCATTAGAAACGACCTGACTAAAGTAAAATTATAGTACGTTATTGTTGTTTTTTTTTTTGTAAATTCATAATATTTGTTTATTTACGCTTTTACTAAGTTTGTAAAATACTAAAACCAGTTTTTAAATTTAATTTAATGTTTATCCAATTAATTTGTTATATTTTTGTTCGCAAATTCAAATTAAAAAGTTGCTTTTTTTTAATCCAAGCTATGAATGCAAACTACTTGACACATATACTTGGCAATTAGGAAATAAAATCTGAGGAAATTCTATAAATAAAAAATTTACGAGAAATAATACGTACGGAAAATATGATGATCATTATAAATCATAGCTTGCGCACTAATAAACTTCGTACGTTCCAAGCTCATTTCGATATTTATATGCGGATGAAGGTTAGAAAAAAGAAAGAAAAATAAATCTGAAAATTAAATTTATAATGGTCATAACGAATTTCAAAGTTATATTACGGCTTGACGTGAACCGCTACAAACTATAAAATAAAATAGCGTAACCATACTTTATTATTATCTTATATATTATATAGATATATAATATATATGTACACACGATGAGTTCAAATCGATTTGGTCTTTTTTATCTCGTACGATGAACACCCGTTGAGATGTTTATTATTAAATAATAATAAATCGGGCATTAATTAACCAATTAATTAAAGGGCGCTTTGAAATTATGCAATAAAGCCTAGCCGATCGTAAATTCACGGTTAGACATCGGAGCTATGAATATGCAAAAGACTTGTCTGAACTTACAAAATAACAACAGAAACTACAAGCTTAATATAGAATATCTTTAAGATGAATTATTCTGTCTTCCAAGATTACCAAAAAAAATAGAAGTAATTAATAAATGGTAATATGCAAAGTAATTGATGTAAGAGGTATTATCTGAACTTTTGTTATCGTGCCACAAAACGTACATTGGTGTCGTAATTACATGGGCCATTATTTAATTAACGGGGTTTAGTTTATGATCCAAGTGGGTCTGTTTCGTGTTGCAGAGGACTATGTTTGTGCCTTAACTGTTAACCGTTAGATGTTAAGTGCGGATTCGTACAAAACCACTAAAAAAAGCACATTAAATTGATACGAATGAAGGATTTTATGCCGTTTGGTGAGGCCACAATGTTGCTACGTTGGACTCAAAATGCTTTGACACCATATTTTTTTTCTATTGTTCCAAGGAATTAAACGACATGCACAAAATTACTTTGAACTTATATACAAAAAAAAACTGACAATTAAAAATAATCTTTGCACTATTATTTAATAGTTATATAAAATAACTACGTTTTGTAGATATAAATAATTATATGATTGTTAACTTTAGCATGAAGATTTGGAATTATATAATATTACGAAATAAATGCTAATATTTATGCACATTTCTAAAATTGGTACGCGCAAAAGTATTGCAAAAGTTGTTGTTTCCATGTTCATAAACAGACGGACCAAAAATAAATGTTATAATAATGTGTGGATGTATGTAAAAGTTCAGTCTAATTAATTGATGAATCTCGCAACGCTCGAAAATGTCAAACGTCGATCGCGTAACATTCAATAATCAATATATTTTGTTTGCATCACTTTGAATCCAAATTTTAATGTACTAAATCTTCTTGTTAAGTAACCTTTTTTTATGTAGTAAAGTTTTTCCTTAAATATCCAAGGATTCATTTTTAATGAAACATATAAATAATTTGAATCTTATATTATATTTTTTTATAAAACAGTTTTTTAAATTTTCAGACATGCTAAAATGTGAGAGCTATTTTTAGAAGAAAAAACAAATTTGCATCTCGGTTTTAAAACTCCGAACGCTTTTTGGGTTTTCTGTGCCGTAAATATTGCGGTTAAAATATATCGTTTCGATTAAGATCGTCCTGCGAGAATTCTCAGAATACCGTCCATAAACAAGAAGATAATGAAAGAAGGAAGGCTCACTCACCGTGTTTACATCTGCGATTTCCTTCCTACTGTTGTTGTACCCTTTCGGCTCCACCCTGCTGGCTCCTTTGTATTCTGTATACCTGCTGGACCTGAGACTGTTCTCCTTTTCCTTCTTTTTTTTGCTGCTCGTAAACAATTGCTTCATCTGCAAAAATAGCATATTTTTAACAAGTGAATTTACATATTTATATAGAAAGAGGTAATACTTTTTCAAGGGAACTCTTCTTCTCCGGTTTCGGTGGTTTCTTATCCATCTTCTTTAGGGTGCTCCTATCCTTGTCAACATTCTTATCAATCCTCGGATCAAAGTGCGATCCATCATCGATACTCCTCTCTCGTGGAGCGTAGTCCTGCTTCTTGTAGCTCTTGTACTCCATACTCTCAACATGTCTGTACGGATCATCTTCTCTATTGTATCTATCCCGATCCGAGTCATATCCTTTCTTATTCCTCTTAGCAAAGTTATCTTCGGTGTGTTGCCTTTCGCTGGCTATTAACAAAGAACTCGCGAAACCTTCATCCTCACTCTCGTTGGAGAACTCCTTACGTCTGTGTCTTCTCTCCCCCGAATCCCTCCTGAAGTCATTCTCAATACCCGAATCACCAAATTTATCCTTTCTCTCGCATTCGTTTTGATCAAAATATTTTCCATTAACCGCCTCGTGCTTCTCTCGTTTAAGCGAATCATGATAACTATCTTGGTATCGCCTGTGATCATCATAGTTGTACGCTCTATGTGCAATCTCAGGATTCGACTTGTAGTAGTCGCGATCTTTGGATAGTTTTTCCGTCTTCGCAGTGTACTTGTTGTTACTACTGTGGTGGCTCGTTCTGTGACTAGTTTCGAAATGCCTGTTCTCGGGACTCGACCGGTAATCGCTGATTTGCGAATCAAAGCTCTTCGGTTCATTCTCAAAGCTGTTATATCTGTAATCCTTGAAGCCGTCCCTTTCGTCCGTTCCCAAATACTTTTTGGTGTGCACGTTCGTTGTATACTGAACGCCGTTCCTATCTGTTTTCGTCTCCGAAACGAACTTCTCCTTGACTCCGATTGGACTCGCAGATCCGCTTCGATAATAACGTGAGCTAGTTTCCGTTACGTAAACGTTGGTTGGGGAATTCCTAATAGCTTTATCTCCGAACCTCCTGTTGATCCTCGATTCCAGCAAATCCCTTCTGGCGCTCAGATCTTTGCGATTAAGATTATTCATGCTTCCGCTGAATTTCGTCGAGATACCGTGATCAGGTTCTGTTAAGCTCTCGCGTCTTTTGGAATCCATACCATCACCTCTTCCTCTAGACGAAGAATCGATAAAAACACCGTTCTGATCAACTTTCGAGAATTTATTTTCGTAGCTGGTGTAGCCATTGTAACCGTTGCTCTTGAATTTAGGCGTTATGGGAAACTCCTCATCAAATCTATCATCACTGTAATTGTATTTTTCATCTCCGAAATGCGTTATGCTTTTTTCACGGCAATTCGAGTTTTCTTCATATCCTAAACCTTCATCAGAATCGGAATGTGGAAGATGCTTCTTTCCATTGGTGTATGTGGTGTGCACTGTTTGCTTAGCTCCGGAACCGTTGCTTCCACATACGACCTGTGCGTAAATAATGGGATTCCTTTCAGGACTGACTCCTCTAGTATAAGAGAATGGTTGGTTATTGTTGTGCTGCACTGAGACGTTTGGACTGATCATTATGTTGGTTTTTGGAGGAGGCGAAGATCCTTCGTGACTTAACCTCTTCACCATGGTATCAACGGTCCTTCCTCTGGTCAACGGCAACTTATCGACTGGCTGCTGACTGCTGTGGATCATTTCTGACTCTTTTTTCTCCGGTTTTTCTACTGCTTTGGACTCCTGTTTCTTGGACTCCTGTTTTCTATACTCCTCTTTCTTAATTTCCTCCTTCTTTGATTCCTCTTTTTTGATCTCCTCTTTCTTGCTTTTGCTCTTCTTTGTGATAGCCTTAAGCTTCTTGCCGAAAGTGTTCAGTTTCGGTTTGGATTTGCTCGAGATTTTCTCAGCTTTATCCACATCAATTATTACGATTTCCGGCGGTTTCGTCGTCTCGTTCAGAATAGCCGTGTCAACCTCATCAATGTACTCCTTTAGCTGCTCGGTAACACTGCTAGTTTTCTTATCTTTTTTTCTCGCTGGCGGCTTTATTTCGTTTTCTACATTTTTATTGTTTTCCTTAAAACTCGCGCTTTGTCTCAAGTTATCTGCGGGAGCGAAGTAATCTTCTCGCTGTGTAACTTCGATGATCGGAGATAGCTGTTTCTTAGTCTTCAGATTCGGCGTATCTTCTGATTCGCTGATCGTTCTCGATCTAACATTGTTATTGTGCGTTTTCAAATTGCTAGCATCGCTCACACTTCTCCTCAAATTCGACTTCTTGGGTTTCGGTTCCTTTTCGGTTTTCGAGAAGATATTGAAGATCGATGAACGCTGAGCCGGTTTGCTGTTGTTGCTTCCACTGTTGAATGCAAAAGTTCTCGGTGGTTTTTTAGGTGGTGTCACTTCGTCGCTGTTTCGTCGCTTCGTGCTGCGTCCGAGGGAGTTTGGATTGAAGTCAGGGTGCTTCTTCCTTGCGGGAAGTGTGTAGAACTTGTCGGGATGGACTCCTGAAATGAAAAAATAGTCATTAGGATGGAAACATGGAGGAACTAATTAAAGAAGCTGAGAGATAACGACGACAGAAGTATGAGCATGAAGGGGGAGGCGTATCGCGTTTCCCTAACGATGATGGCGATAAGATGAGATGAGAGATGAAGATCTGAGGTGATGAAGAGCGGGTCGAGTGGTCAGATTAAGTAGGTAGATACAGGCGGAGAGAGAAAGAGTGAGTGCGGAGTGTAGAGTGGAGAGACCCGGATCATTAGGTTCCGTAATTACTTAATGCCTTAATGGGTGCTCGGGTTGTGGCTCAAAAATCGCCCTGGCTTTAATTTTAAAGCCCGCAGTTGTAATGATGCCGCTATCCACTGCTTAATAACTTTATTACATTGTCTTTGAGGCCAAACAAATACTAAAACGAAATTAAGATTATGCGAGCATATCAAAGGAGATTGCGTTCAGTTTCATGCTATTAAGCAATTTATCTTTCTTTCAGTACTATTCTTACTTTGAACATATTTCTTAACTTAATTTGTTTTGTGAAATATTTTATCCCATACAATCTTATTTCGCACATATTATTATTCTATCTTCTATTATTTACTATTTTTCAATTATTAATTTAGCAATTAGTTTGTTTACGTAAATTGGCGATTTTAAATTAATACATTTTCTAATAAGGGCATTTAATTGATATTATTTTAATTAAAACATTTATATTAAAACTTTATTTAATAATTAATATTTGCTTTATCAAAAAACATATATAAATTATAATAGTAATTTTAAAATACAATAATAAACACAATTTCTAATGATAACTGTATAAATAATCCTATTAATTATTTTATGCATACTGTGCATTATTTGCACAATTTGCATTATTCATGGAATTTATATTATTCATAATAAGTCTAGTATAATTGAAACTTACATCGTGATCTTCTTAAGGAAATTTTGGATTGTTGGTATATTATGCGCACCAGAAATAACCTTAATGGATGTAGTTGATGTTCATATAAAGACATATTACGCAAATATTTCAAGGCAATTTACATTAAACCGTTTTTGGATAATGAGTCTTCATTCTGCATTTTAATACAGTTCTTAAAATTGTCACAGTCATGTAATGCACGACTCTTTCTAGAAACATTTCATTCTTCTAATAGAAGATATAATCAACAAATAATAAATAATATTTTCGCTTTAAGAACAAAAAATTGTGAAATACGGAAAAAATATTAGACAAATTGAAGGAAAAATTGTAACATTGATTTAATTAGAATTTTTATTATTCAGTTGTTAAACTTTCAATTGGTACGTAAACAAGAACACAACTTAAGAACAAATTATTTCAACAAACATTTTATTTTTGTAAGTTATTGTAAATTTATTAAAAGGCAAATATTTCATCAAAATATGAAGCTGAAATCAATTAAAAATGTGTAGAATAGGATTTCAAAATTTACTGTTTTTACTAGGGAAATGAAAAAGAATAAATCTAAAGTAATAAATCCAGAAATGCGAGCCCACTGCATCAAGAATCTGTTATTTTTCACAATACTACCTACGTATCGTTAGTAATTCACGTTCTCTAATTAGTTTTAACAAGTACACACATTCATCCAGATCATTCCATCCACTGTGAATATAAATAAGTTCATGCATATCTCAAGATATCGGAAATCTCGAAATACCAAATAGCAAAATTACCGAAGGAGAAACAGGCTCCATCCAACAGAATGGTGGAGACTCAGCCCACGTCTCCCCGTGTATTCTCAATCCGATAATTAATTAAAGTGACCAATAATAAACCGTTATTATTGCGATTTCAACTCATACCTACACATAAATATGTGCTTGTATGTATATACATATACACTCACGTATGCAGATTTCCTCTCGCACTTTCAATAAACTAGAATTCTCCAGATTCTGCCTCGAACTTATCTAACAAATATACAGAAACACAAATAACGAAACGCGTGCGACGCTTATAAAATCACGAATTGCACTAAATATTGTATGAGAATAATTTGAAGGCGAATTTAATAAAACAAAACAAAAAAAGATTTGAACAGAAGGCAATGCGAGGAGCGAAAGAAGAAGGAAAACTGAAATAGCGCAGGACAAGAGACAACGTTTGTGATGTAACACACATTTGTAAACTACATTCTTTGTGTATGTACAAAACGAGTATAGTGAGTATAGAAAGATGTGTGTATTATATATTTAAAAAGTATAAACAACAAAATAAAGAAATAAGTGAGGGAATAAATAAATAAATACGAAGAGAAAAAGCGAGTCGTACACCTAGATTTCACAATTTAGTACAAATGCTGAGTAATTGAGAAATTTGTAAGTAAATGGCCTTTTATGGTTCTCCATGGAATGAGCACGCAATGTTTACTTATTTATATGGCATAAATACTGAACCGTACGCATGGAATTAGGATTAGATGAAAATAATAGAGATTAGTCATGATAAACGAACAGGTAATACATAAAAAAGCGCGTATTACTCATTGAATTTAAACAACTTAAGTAAGAAAAATAAGTAAATCAAATGCAAAGATATTCATTTCTTCACACAACTTATGAAAACAACTTTTATGTAAGTTTATATTAAATGTACAATTTTAAGTAAGTAATATATAATCTTGCAATCAAATATAATACTCGTACTTGTTGTTATGTATATGGGAATATATTATATATTCCTATATACATGGATAACTCGTAAAGTCCTGGTAATATGTTCAGCCAATATGCCAGATTGTTGGAAACCGGACAAATCCAGGAAATATTTAACACAAACAGTGATTTTATGAAGTAAATAATTTATACAATTTCTCTTTATTTTGATAAATTTAAATTAAGTTTATTTTGTTTTTTTTTTATATCGGACTGATCAAAGCCGGAATATACTGTACATCTTCAAATAATTTATTCTAGGATCATATAAAATAGTAATAATTACTTATTCATTCATAATTCTTCATTAAATTTACAATTTTAATTAAGAAAAATAGCTAATATTAAAATAAGTTAAATAATCATATTTGATTCAATTAACAGATATTCATCTAATAAAGCTACTTTTATAAAATCTCAAATATAATCATAAACTTATGTTAAAATATTTTGATAAAATAGATATCATTAAAAATCTAAAACTTTATAGACTGAACCCAATAACAAAACTTTAATAATTATCTGAGTCAGTAATAATTACCGTCACATCCTGTCATATAACAAAATATAAATTATTAAGCTATTATTTTCAGTGATCCGCAAATTGCGTTATTTCTCTTGAATTTAATTACATGTTATGATGTATTGTTTAAATGTATTTACAGGAAGTTTAAAATTTACAAGTATACGAATTTAACATATTTATATAATATCCTTTTAGAAACTACTTTTTTTGTTAGTAATACAAGATTTTACATATTTCCGTCTGATTTTAATTTCAATGTAAGACATTAACAAAATAAGCCGTTTTATGCAATATATTGTTGAAGTTTATATTTTTATATTTACATGTTACTTTTCTAATAAAATGTTCCATAATCATTGTAAGTATTACCAAAATATTTATGTTTTTGATAAAAAAAAATCTATTTACATTTAGAATAGGTAACGTTATGAAATTTAGGAACATCTGGCACTTCAAAAAGTTAAAAAAAAATAAGAATTAACATCATCATTAACACTAAAATCTGTCTATAATTGGGTTTGATATAATCATATATTTATGAATATGCATTATTGTTATTCTTATAAGCGTATCAAAATAAAATAAAAATATGTTTATCTTTAGTCTTTAGTATTCTGGTAGATTTTAAAATTTATATTAGAATTTAGGACTAAAAAAATCTATGTCTTAATTTCAAGTGAAATGAATAAACTTACCCTTTCTACACTAACAAATATAATAATATAAAAGTTTGGTGGACAGATTATAGTTGTAATAATTTAAATGTTTGTTTCTAATTATATATGTATTATTATGTATTTTTGTTGTTGTTGCAATAAATGTTATTTGTATTAAATTGTAACAACATTTAAAAATAGTTCATGTTTACTAAATTATAAATAATAAAAAATATTCCCATGTACTCAAACTTTTTCAGTTAATGGGACAAAGCAGTAAAACATTGGAAAAATATTATTATAATATTTGAACGCTCGGTGTGATCTTTGATTTAAGAATGTATAGAAGATGTGTGTAAACACGATGAAAGCGCACGTAGTTTTATGTTTGCAGTTTGCGTCTGGATAATTTCCTCAGAGCATTCGAACATTTTCCACGCCTTTCAGACTCACCGCCTTTGCTGACACAGTCGACTTTGTCAGCTTGATGGATGACCCTTGCAGCTTCTTCGGCAAGTTCCTGTTTCGATTTCGACAGCCTCTCTTTTCGTACAGGTGACCTCAACAGGTGACCCTCTCCGTCACCACTCAAAGCACCGGCCCTTGCACCCTCTCTAGGCACTAAAATACCAAAAAAAAAAACAAACACCAACGAACACTACATTAGTCCAATGTCAATATTATTCAAGTACTTAAATTTTCTACTTTTTAAGCCGTTTAGTATTGTTTCATTTGATGGTGTAGATTTAACTTAGTTAGAATTAAGATAATACTATTTTAACTTCAGAGTTATTTTATACATGTAATTACTTGTGTTATTATATAATTATTAGTAACTTAAAAAATTAATTAAAATAAGTATAGTTAATTGTCAATATTAAACTTCTTAATATTATTAATCAATGATGATGCAGCACTAATTACATTTAATATATTAGGAATCACTAGTTTATCATATTTTGTAATTGAAAACTTGTTTTTAAACAACAGATGAATTTTATAATTTTAATATATAATAATAACTAATGCTGTAAAGATTTTCAACTCTTAAATTAAAACTTCATTCAAATTATTTTGATATGTACATGATATTAATATTGTTTCATAATCTGAGTTTGGTTAAGTGGCAGAGAGTGCGGTTCAAACTATTATATAATTAGTCATAAAGTGTAAGGAAAAGAAATCGACGATTGGAGCGGCGAGGAATTAATTACGGACATTCTAAATATAGATATAGCGAAACGGGCAGTAAACGTATGGAATTTACTGCGTCGAATTTTACGATTACGCAACGACGAAGGAGGTGAAGAAATTCCCGTGCAAAAGGGCATCCGCCGCTGCGATCGACGTATAAAACGGATCAATCAATAATATACGAGAGAGGCATTAGAAATTGGAACGAATAGAGAAAAAATAAATAAATAGAAAACCTCTAAATGTCAAGCATTTTTAGAAGGAATTCCATCAAGGTGAACCAAATGGTGAATAATTAAATCAAGGTTCTTAAATGCAAGAAAAAAGTATAAATGTACCGTATTTTTCGTTATATAAAAATCAAAAAATCGATTTCATACGTCAGTTCAACATTTTTTGAAAATCATACTAAAAATTGTAAAATAGGGAATAGAAAGAAGTTACCAGACAGTATGAACATTCCATATAGTCGCTTTTGATAAAATAAACTTTTGGCCTACACATCTCTTGATATAGTAAACAATTAAACTAAAATTATATCATTCGATATAGTCACTTTCTGAGAAAAAATCGAAGAAAAGCAGTTCTTAAAAGTTTGAATAAAATTGTTATTATAAAATAAGTTTTGATAAGAAAAACTGATATTACCATTCAAATATTTGGCTTTAATTGTTTAAAATGCAACTTTCACTGTACATACATTTAAAGACCAATACAAAGTGCGTGTTATATAAGGGTGAGTTTTACACATTTGAATGGATCCTGTTCATATTATTTTGTTAAAATAACCTCAACATTAATGTGCCTATTTTATACCGACAATAATAATAAAAAAAGTTATACTTTATTCATAAATTTCTAAAAAGTTTACTTCACATGGATGCGTTTTGTACACCGATGTTGTACTCATGGTGATAATTATTTTCTAAAATAATCCTAAAATTATATAATATTTATACAATTGTGAACGCAATTATTTGAAAAATAATCACTTAATTGCGTCTTATACAGAGAAAATAAAAAAATATATACACTGCAAAATCATTGCAAACAATTAAACATCACAGAGATGCAAATTATACAACAAAGTGATGCTTCTTTAGAGTGAAAAATGAGTCTTATACATCAAAAACTTAAAAATATATCAGTAGCTGCGAAATCGGATAAATTTTCGAGCATAATTACAAAATTATGCAACATTATACAACAAAGTGATATTTGTTTACATCCCTTGAAAAAATGCATGCTATGCATCAACAATTATAAAAATTATCATAAGCTGTGGAATCGGAGGAACTGAGCAAACCCAAATCAATTTCTCATTGCAAATCTTCGAGTTAAGTGCAAATACGTGATGAAAGTAAAAACTAGAGGGAGAGAGTGTCTTCAAGCAGAGCAAATATCTTTGATTATTTGTGGATGTTTGAGTGAGTCAAAGGAAAATATGAATGCGAAACGTAAATATTTTATCCAATTACGAAAGGATTCGACGAAGAAATGCGTGCTTGCAAAAGGAATGATTTTAAAGGACGCGCACACGCACTCGGTGTACTGATGAGGAATGGCAAAACAAATATGATGGAGCTTATAAATATTTAAATAATGCGTATATATATACCTACGAAACGAGAATGAAAAAAAAAGAGGCAACAACGTAGACAAGACTCTGCTATTCATTTATTTCAGTTCGGAAAGGTGGGGTGAAGAAGGAGAGCCGGACAGATTTGAATTTGAAATTTCGCGCCGTCAAATTTATCGCGCTCAATTTCAAGATCTTTTGCTCTCTCTTTCTCCCGGCACTTTCCTTCCATTTTTACTTTATTTTCATCGTTCCGCTGAAAATTCTCGGAATAATTCCGACGCATCGACGATCGTTATATTGCCTATGCATCAATCGCTATTTTATACTAATCACTTTGAATTGTAAATTAGTCTTATTGAATAATAATCCCAATTCAACATTTACGTAACTTACATAAAACTCGTTTCTGTCTAGGAATTGAATAATACAACAACAACAACAAAAATAACACATATATACAGAGATAGACGTGTTTCACTTTTTTTTATAACAATAAAACTATGGTAACAAAGTAAAATAAAATAAAAATAATTACAGTGTGAGGTCACATTTCTAGGTTTTAAGCCTCTTCTCATGTGCGAAGCTAAATTTAGATATTATTGCCGGGATTCTGTTGCGTTTTATAGCTTCTGGTAATTTATTAATTAACAATCGCTTATGAAGCTTTCGCTTAGAAATTTAGAAAGAGTTTATTACAACATTAATTGCATTTGCATAACTGTCAACTAAACACTTTTATTTATATTTTTATTATTCATATTGTCTTATGTGAACATAACAGTTGGTAATCGTTCGTGACAAATATATAGAATTTATAAAAAATATATTATACAAATACAGTTAAACCTGTCTTTTTGCGGTAGATAGGGACCGCATAAAAAAACGCAAAAAAAATATTAGAAATTTTCATAAATTCTTACATATAACAAACATTTTAAGAAACAAATAATTTCTTATGGTACTTATGAAGAAATTTTCAAAATACACATACATAATTCACTGCTACTCGTGATAATCCAAAACGTGCATTTTGTTGTGAAGAATTGGTTCAAAATCGACTAACATGATTGTTTGAGCAGGCTGTACATATGGACACTGATAGAAAACATTACAATGGTTCCAACTAAGTTGGAATTGGTTGGATTTCATATATCGAATAAATAAAAACCGCACAAAAATAAAAAAAGACCGCACAAAAACAGGTTCTACTGTACTTTAAATGCATGAATATCTTGTTTGACTAGACAACGGACATTTAAATTAAAATTGGCGAAGGAAACAATGAATCAAAAAAATAAGAATAGATCATTAATAACGAAAGTTTATACCGATATTTTAGACGTTCGAGAATTAGAAAACTTAGTTATTTTCGTAGATTACGAAATTTAAATTGTTGCTATATTGTATTCAGTTTTAAAATCCGGAAATCTAAGAAAAAAAAATGTAAACATAAGTGTTGGCTTCATTTTTTTTCTTTCTTTTAAGCAATAAAAATATTTCCATTAACATAATAACACTGACTTTTTAAATTCTCAAATTTTAACATCATTCTTGACTATATTTTTATTTTTATTCAAATCAAACATTATTAAATTATTATACTATATTTAATATGTAGATTTCTGTAGTAATTTAGTTAATTCACTCTTTATTACTTCTATAATTAAGAAAATTAGTTATCACATACTTTGTTTCATAACTAGATGCTATAAGAACAAAAAGAAAAAAATGTTTTATATTGTTAATATAAAACATTTTTTCCTGATGAATTTCTGATGCTCAAAGCTATGCACGTGCGAATGCGAATAAAGAAATGCAATAAAAATGCATTTTGTGAGGTAAACAAATTTAAAATTCACCGCATAATTGGTAACACGAGATTTATTGTCATTATTCATACCAGTATATTATTTTTATATAAGATACACTGTACGTAACTTTACAAGGCATCAGTTAAAAAAAATATGTTAAATATCTGCGGTCCAAAGGTTTCTACATAAAGTAGAAATGTTTTATAAATAATGCTAATATTTATTTTATTTGCAGAGCTGTAGCATTTAACATAAGTAAAATTTTGATTGAGGATAAAATAATAAATTAAACTTGGTAATATGAATGCTAGATGAGAATACAAATAGTAACTGTACTTGATTGGAAGTTTCTTTCATTGACCACTTTTCAATGTGTAAATTTGTGGTGAGTTAAGACTTCGTAGTATATTATAATACTATTTTCTAATCTAATATTCATTATCATACATTTATTTAATTACCAATTCATTATTGCTTAACTTTGATACAAAAAAAATATCAAGTAAATAAAAATATTTTTCTCAATTCTAAATAGTAAAAATTACGTTTGTAATAAATTTAATAAATTGAATAATTTAAAATATGTATACACTTTAAACAAATAAAAAAGTTTATGGAAAGTAGTGTTTCACAAAATAATGTTTTGTAATAACTAAAATAGTCATGAATTTCTAATATAAACTTTTGCTTTGAGCTATGCACGTGCCGACAAATACAAGGAAAAGCAATAAAAATGCATTTTTTTCAAGTAAACAAATTTAAAATTGGTAAAGTTAAATATGCCATGAAACTGCAATTATTAAAAAAATATTATAAATCCGATTTGTAGAAGTCACAATAAATATGATAATGAATACAAAATTGATTGATAATTTGGGATTAATTAATTATAGTCAAAAATAATACAAGAAAAAAAATATAATTATTTCCTTTTATTGATATTTCCATATAAAATATGTGTCTTTATTAGCATATTAATATTGGGATATTACCAATACTCTTGAAAATTCATTATTAGTGTACTAATTTTTATTTGTTAATGCATGATTGGAATTAGCGAATGATGATGTGTTATAAATAAGTGTGACTTACTTTGGGCGACTTTGGTTTAGCGAACTAAGTTTAGAAAAGCATAGTAATCCCAAAAAATAAATAAATAAGAACAAAAAAACTGGCGTTTGGAAAAAAAAACTGCACTAAAATAACTGAAAAACTAGGTAAACTAGGTAAACTCCTGATGGCATTTGGTACCGGAGAGGCGCAAACGAAAGCAAAGTATTTATTGTTGGAGATCACCTTCACGGCAAAAAACACCGAACGAGACTAAGTGATATTATTATTGAGGCGTGCGTTCAGGTAAAATCCGGAGGCGATCGACGGCGACGGCGAGGAGAGATGGTCAACAACAACGACAACGACGATCTGCGAAACAACAAAAGCAACAGAACGAACGTATAGTAAGCGTAAGAGAGATCCAGAAGAATATAATCAACATGTGCGTACAGATATGGATATGTACATGGGTTCCCCAAAAAGAGTGGAGAAGGCCTGCGCGCCATCGCTTCGCTATAACGTCACACGTGGTGGTATATCGGGACACGCAGAGCTGAGACACTTAAAATGGAAAGCACCGCAGCCTTGGATAGGTCATTCATTAAAATAAAGTACGGGACGCAAAACGAAGGAAAGACGTAGCGCCAATAACAACAAACAAAAAGAGACAACAAATAGAAGAAATATGCGAATTCGAAGCGAGATGCGAATGGGAGAGAGAAAGATGTGCGCGCTTTTTTATATGCATCATTATTACATTCCGCATCACAAACCGAAACCATTAATTTGCTCTGGCAAGAAATGCAAAATTGATGCGAATTAAAAATGCATTCGATCGCGGATCGGCCGTATAAAATTGATTTATCGGACTTTGCAAAAAAGATAAAAAAAAGAAGGACTTGTAAATGGGTTATAGGCCATACGAGATTCAAATTAGCTTATTAGAGAAATGGAACAACAAGACTGAGATGTTCACTAGAAGTGCACGCAATTGTGAATACTGTTTCGACATTAGTTCTGCAAGAAGTGCATTTTGGCACGACAATGAAATTTAACTACGCATGTATTCAATAATAGCAATTCTAAAGGATTCAACGAGAGTTAACAAATTATAAGAAATTAATTACCAAATCCTCAACAACGTTGCATTAAAACCATTTTTAATACCATATAATTAATTAAATTAAATATAATTTTTTTTTTGGCAAATAAAAGAATATAATAAAAGTGATTGAAATGATAGATCAGAACACGAACCCATATGGCTATTATGATTAATAACTCTTTTTATAAGAAAATAATAAAACACTAAATATATATAAAAATAAACACTATAATTCTTATTCCCTCACAATTAATGTATATACTTATTCTTATCTATGTTTTTCGATAACAGATAACAAAAGTAGAAACATGAGTCATAGATCAGAAGAGAAACCCAAAAATAAAAATATATAAATAAAGAAATTTCTTAATAATATAGTTTCAAACTCAATAAATAAACATTTTCCATTCTCAGATTTTTCTCAATTTCACTCAATATTATTGATGCAATATAATCGTTCTATTCAGTCGTGTATTTAAATTTGTCTTAAATTTGTCTTAAAATTAGAATTTTATTTATTAATAATATACATTGTATTTATTAATAAGTTACATTGCTGCTAAAAACAATAGTCATAAAATAGACATTGAATCAAAAAAACGGAACCTACAGATATTATAAAAATTTGCTAATATTATTTTTTCTTATTTAGGTGCTAAGTGGGCCGACATGACACAAGAATTATTAATATGTCATATCATTGACACATCTCATAGCGTAGAATTTGTCGGAAACTGCGTGTGCATATTCTAAAAATAGGATTACGAATCCTTGGAGGAGCAGCAAATATTGCAAAACGCGCTCACGACCAGGAATCCCGATGCTTCATCTTAAGCGTTTTTCCTGTTATCCCAGCAAGGTTTCCGATTCGCATCAAAGTAGGTTAGTAGTAAATTGCGGCTCTTTCTTATATACACTGTTTTTTGTGTGTGTATGTATAAATTTCGTTTCGGAAAAGTCTCAAGGCTTTTCGCGTTCGGAATGTATTTATGGTCAAAGGACTAAGCTCGAGCACATGCCGGGACCTTGACACAAGGCCTATGACCATATAAGCAATTAACAATTGTACTCATACCCGTTTGACATTCACTCACACATTTCCTTCTCGTGTCGCAAAACGTCAGTAAATGCACCATCGCCTCTCGTCCTCTGCTGTCGTCATCTTCTGCATTTAACTAGGGTTGGAGGAATTCGCGTGAGGATGAATTCAGAAGGAGTCCGAAATGTACAGAATCAGGTGTAAAACAAGGCGTGGGTCGAAACGGCGAATAATATGTTTGATACTTATTATTTAAATGTCATGTTGTTTTGTGCATATTCTACGCCTTCTACACCTTTGCGATTCTCCAGTGAAACGGGATACAATAATAATAATAAAAATACAACAACGTATAGAAATAAAGAAGTGTGGAGAGAATGAGAGTATATGTATACGCGATAGAGAGAGAACGAATGTTCAGAACTTACTCATTTATTTACTTCTTCGCGGTTCTCGAGAAAACACCCCCACATCAATGAACGGATCGTTCCAAATTTGGACAGTAGACCGTTTCCATTTGATTGAGGAAAACAGCGTCATAATATATTCATCAGGTGATTTCTCAACTAGCGAAGTTTCTGGAAGAATGTTTTATTCCAAAATCCTTTCAATTTATTTAAATAATACAAAATCAAAACGCAAATATTAAATAGCAGCAATATGTGAAGTATGCTGTATAGTGGTATAATTTTCTTTAAGTTGTTATTCATAGTCAATTATTGTACTTAATGATACCAACTTTGTTAAAAAATAAATCGAGTAGTTAAAAAAATATCATAAAAGAGTTCTAAATTAAATATAAAGGTGCGTACATACTATAAGATTCCAACTTGTAGATTATTTCTCATTATTCCTTAAAATCTAATAACCCAATTGGGTTAATTCATTTCAGTACTCCATGATATTAATAAAATTATAATAATACTTTTTTAAATAAATCCAATTATTGTAAAAAAGTTTGTATAATGTTCTAAAATTTTAAGGTTTAAGACAAGAAATATAATTAATGTATTAAAATGCAGTTGGTATCACTGTTCTCATGTTTTGGCTGTCATTGTATTTCAAAACTTCCAAATCTTTATTTGGTTGCTATTATCCTCTATAAGTTGGTACATTTGTAAAAACGAACTAGAATTAATGTTATTTGAAGTTATATGTTTATTTTTTTTATAGAACTAAATATTATTCAGTCTCATCCAGATTGCAAACCATCTTTTTGTTTCATCGAGATTGTTTTGCGGAGGTTGGAACAGATGGTAATCCGAACGCGCAAGGTCACATCAATCTTTATATTTTTTTGCCGTGCTTAGAAAGGTTAGTGCGATTTTGTTTTATTATGATGCAAATCTATCATTTTTGCTTTTGTGTTGACTGAAAAATTAAGACGAGTAGCAATACAAATTGCTGTAATAAGATTCAAATTGTTTAAAGAATTGTAAACTCTTGTAAGACAATATTTAATTATTAAAGAAAAATATAGTTTCTAAAAGTAAAAACTAGCGATATTTAGTATAGTCCTGACTAATCATTAAACATAAACTGAAAAAAAGAGTCTTGACTATACAGTTACACCATTCTTGTACCATTCAAGATGAATCTATAGGAAACTGATTTACGTTGTGAGATTGTTTTGTGCAAAAAAGGAGAAAAATGTGACGTCCGAGTCAAGGAATTAATACAATTTTGTCCTTGCCAAGAGCGACAAACGTCGATTTAGAAATATGCAAATGTTGAAACAGACACATACACACACTTTTATGTGTTTATTATTGCTGGTTCGCATAAAAAATGGAAAAACCTGTCGGCTCAAATATCATAGGCACACAGCAAATGTATTGTTTTACAGGAAATTGAAAATAATTACAATAATTTTTATAATCTATCATAATGTTTCTGCTATTAGTTGTAATAATATATTTTAATATATTACTATTTCAGAGTTTAAGTACGTAAAAAAGGATTAAATAAAAGCTTTGCCTATTTTGTTAATACTAAATCGAAACAATTAAAGTGACGATTAAAGTTACTAAGAAACATTGAGTTTTTTTCGTGAAATATAGCAAACAGAAAATAAAATAAGTGATTTAAATTGAAAACTTTCGAAGATATTAAAAAAAAATACAAAACAAACAAATGTATTAGAAATTAAGTAATTTGATAATAACTTCATGAGTGAAAATAATTAAAGTGTGTACAATTTCATTGTAATTATTAAAAAATATTAATGTTAGAAAAGTTCATTCCATGTAAAATAAATTTGCGGAATGCATAAACATAAATATTTCCAAGTAAACAATGAACAAAAAAATAAATTAAAATGAATAATGAACGGTTATAAATACAAGTTGAAAGTGTACATGAAACAGGACTGAAATTTAAGCAAAAACATGTTTTGGTCACCAGTCATTTATTTTTTTGTTCGACCGAAACTGTTTTTCAAAGTATTAATAGTACATAATTTATTGTTAAATTTGCTTTACCAATTAGCAAAGACGTGCCATTTATTCATTTTTTTATTGAACCCATGACACCGTCGTAAAGACAGAAAGAAGAAAAAAAAATAAGAAAACCGTTTGATTTAATCGAAACTAAAAAAGGTGGACATAATGATCGACGTATTGGCATTGAATTATTATCGAAATTAATATTAAATGCTGCGGATAGATTAATTAAAATAGGGATTAGCATACGAAAGACATTAGAGGGAGTCAAGATTTGGCCGTTTCTTGGATACGAATTCTCAAGGTCGTGACGGTTTCCTGTAGTAAATGTTTCCGCGCTGCGATTAATAACAATAAACGGCAATAGAAATAGAAAACAAGAAACAACAACAAAAAAATAATTGAAAACTCGTTGTTAGAAAAGAAACGGCGTACATATGTAATAATTAAAATGGAATTAACGATTTTCGAGACGTTTAAATCAATTAGACTTATTGCTATGCGCTCGGCTGTCAAGTTTTACGGTTAATTGGCAGGTATTAAATGGCATTAAAACAAACAGATCTTCGAAATTTGCTCACGATGATGATGCATGCTTTATGTATTATACCGTAAGTTTTGACCACCCACACAAAGTTTACTTAATGAAAATTGAGGTCTGCTTGTATTTAGAAAGAATGAATCAAATCATTCTGTTTCTCACATATGTATTTTTTTTCATATTTT